GTTTCCTCCATCCCAGCACACCCACCTAAAAATTGGCCAATATATCCAGGGTAGCATCTGGCAGTAGATCCATGATGTTTGTGGTCAGATCTGTGGTTATGTACAAGATATTTGAATAAAGGGTGAATTTGGGGTTCCCCAATGCAAAAAGTGTGATGATCCATGAGGATCCGTGCTTCAAAACCACGTTTTTGAGCCATGGAGTGGCCAGGAAGCCGTGGATCCGTGTTTTTTGTGGTGCAGGCTGTGCCCATGGCCATGATGTGTCATTTGACGGTGAGTTTGGGTTGGCCCAATGCAAAAAGCATGAGGACCCATGAGGATCCATGCTTTGAAACCACGTTTTTGGGCAGTGTTATGACCAGGAAACTGTGGATCCTAGTTTTCTTTGGTGCAAGTTGTATCCCTGGACATGATGTGTGATTTGACAGTGAGTTTGGGTTGGCCCAATGGAAAATGCGTGAGGATCCATGAGGATCCATGCTTTGAAACCACATTTTTGGGCCACGGTATGGCCAGGAACCCGTGGATCCGAGTTTTTTGTGGTGCAAGCTGTGTCCCATGGCATGAAGTGTGATTTGACAGTGATTTAGGGGTGGCCCAGTGCAAAAAGCGTGAGGATCAATGAGGATCCGTGCTTCAAAACTACATTTTTGGGCTACGGTGTCACCAGGAAGCCATGGATCCGTGATTTTTGTGGTGCAGGTTGTGCCCCTGGCCATGATGTGTGATTTGATGGTGAGTTTGGGCTGATCTAGTGCAAAAAGCGTGAGGATCCATGAGGATCCGTGCTTCAAAACCACGTTTTTGGTCCACGGTGTTGCCAGGAAGCCGTGGTTCCGAGTTTTTTGTTGTGCAGGCTGTGTCCCTGGACATGATGCCGTGGTCATGCTCTTGGCTTTCCACAGGCCAGGATGAGAATAGAGTGCTGTGCCAGATGAGCCATTGGCCAGATCCAGCAGGACTCTTCTTCTGTGCTTTTCTTCCGAGTAACTCGTGTATTGTGCACAGGTTTCCTCAAGCAGCCTCTGCCAATGCACTGCCCTAGAAATGTTTTGGACTATAACGTCCATCAGCCCCAGCTAGATTTGAGCCAAAGGACAGGTGAACTGGAGCAACATTTGTTCATCCCTAAGTTGTGGCCCATATTCGTCACCTGTGGGGAAGCTTTAGACAGAATGGGCAGGACTGAGGAACCTGCATAGCTGCTGTTGGACTTCATCTCCCATCAGCCCCAGGCAGCATGGCCAAGAGTGACGGATGATGGAAGCTGGAGCACAGCAACATCCAGAGGGCCACAGGTCTCCCTTCCCTATCACTCTATTGCTTGGGAAATTACAGTCTGCCTCTACTTCCATCTATTCTCTAATTTCCCCAACTGAAATAAAACACTAGCTAGTGATTTGTGCCCAGTGCACAATTTGACTGAAGTAAATTAAGGTGTTCTAAGTGTGTATAAGCGATCATGTTAACCGCTGCCTGTTTTCTCAGGCTTTTATTTTACCTCATCAAAGCGATGGTTATCCCAAAGATAACTGGATCTTGACTAGTCTCATGAATGATCCCTGAGGGATTTTGCTGTCCATCCCAAGCTTCCTTTGCCGCGCGTATTATCTGGATGCTTCCAGAAGGAGGAGTCGTCTGCGCATGGGTCGCATTGAGCAGGCAGGAGTCATCACAGCAGGACTGTCTGGGTGGCCAATTATGACGCCTGTGCACGTGAGCCTGGAGGACTGCTTTCAGTTTCCCCACCCAGAAATCTAGGTGACCACCCTTCCTGTTTTTCAGGGGACATTCCTTGTTCTTGAAGACTGGCTGAAGGAATCATTAGAAGTGCTTTCGTGAAATAATCATGAAAGGCCTAAAGACTGCGGTAGACACTATTAACTTTATTACAGGGTTCCTAAACTGTGCTCTGCAGATCACCAGTGGTCCAGAGATGCTTTCTAAATCCCTTGTTTGTCCAGGAAAGCAGTCTCTCCTGGGCACTGAGGGTTCAATGTCTGCCTTATAATTTGGTCCTCTTTGCGCTGGCAGCAATAAAAGATCAGGAAGAAGGAACTGGATAAAATTGCAGTAAACTGTAAGGGAGATTCAGATGTCTAAATAGAAATATGTTGTATGAAGTTGTAGAGGCACCCCATTTACAGTCTCACTTACAATATACAGTTCTGATGGCTTCTGCAGAGCCTTTATGTTTTTATATATGTATATATTTCCTTTTGATATGTGTCTGTATGGTTTTGTCATGGTCTTTGGCTAGTACAATAAAATACTAGTTTTGCCACCTTTTTTGCCAGTGGTTCCTGGTGTGCCTGTAAAAATACAACTAAAAATCATACTGCATATATATTAGCCAATTGCAGTTGCTGCAACAGGCAGGGAAATCATTAAGTGGTCCACCAAGACCCTCTGCAATTTTCAAGTGGTCAGTGGCAGGAGGGGCGAAGTTTTATCTGTCTTCTCAACATGCCACCTCAAATTCTCCCACCAACAATACATGCAACATGTTTAATTCATCCAGTTTGAAACCATTTCCAGAGTTACCGTAAGGAAGTATAATACAACTCGAACGATGCGTTGTGCTCTTGTGGCCTCCCCTTAGGCACTTGTCTGGCCATTGTGGGAACAGAACGCCAGACTAGATGGACCTTTGATCCAGCAGAGCTTTCATTATGTTCTGAAAGCACATCAGCTTAAACTATTTTGGCTCTTCCTTGTTGTCCCTGTTGTTCCCTGATGAAAACGCTGCACCACTTGTGGCCCCTTCTAACGAGTCAAAGACAGAGAGGTTGCTAGATCAATTTTTTTTTTTTTTTGGCTGCTCAGCTAATTCTGACATGCTTCATCCACACCCATTTGCTGTCTTGGGTCATTTGCTGGCTGCAGTGTGTCTCAATGGAACAGTGAACCCCACCCATCTGAGATAACACAATTGCAGCCTTGATGATTAAGGAACCCATGATCACACCAGTGGGGTTACTGATTCTCGGCTCATTTCAATATTTGATTCACCCCTTACATCTACTGTCAGGTGCTGTTGCGGTTGCTCGAGAGTAACCAGGCAGGACCTGTGTATTACATGCTTTATTTTGGTGCAACCTCTTTACAGTGAAGAGCCCCAAAGCTCATGTCTGGCTCAATCGCTAGCAGAATCCAGGAGTGGTCTTTTTTTGTACCTCCCCCAGCATATAAAAATTTTGTTACCCCCAACTGTCTCTGCCCCTCTCTGCGCCGCAGACTACTGCGCAGGATGGGTGATGGCAAGGACGTGCTTCCCTCCTCTCCGGCTTGCTCAGGAGCGGCGTTAAGGCTCTCACTAGCATCCTCTGGTCCTTGCACCTCTTCCCCACTGGAGGTGGGGCTTTCCTCCTCCCCGGAAGAGGAACTGCTTCGCAAGATTTTCGGAGGCTCCCTGTAACACAACTGCCTTTCTATTTCTTGCCTCTGTGCCTATGGCAGTTCCCTGACATCTACAAACCAGTTAGAGGTTGGGATGGGAGTTACAGAGAGTTTTGGCATTGCTTTGTCAATATAAATTATATAATTTGAGGGCAGGGGGGTGGGTGGGATCTTTTTCAGACTGGGGGCCACATTGCCTCCTGGGCAACATGCCAGTGTTGGGCAGACCAGAGACAAAAGTGGGCTGAGCGGAAATAAATAATTTTCACATTTGTTCAGAAGGCTAGTTTTTCACACACTCACACCTTATCTTCCATTCAGGCAAGCAAGAGGCATTGTAAGACCAAAGACACAGTCCGCCCAGGCAGAACCATTTGAGGAATGCCATAAATGTAATATTTCTCTAAAACATACATCCTACATTACATTCCTTGTTCTCATTCCTTTGCTTATATTTCAAGTCCTGCCTGCGATTTCTATTTGACCGTAATATTTTCTCAGATAATCCAAAAAGGGTCTCCATTCTTCTGCAAGCGTTTCTTCTTTGGGGTCTCTTATTTTTGCTGTCAGTTTCGCCATCTCCGCCATAGTCCATAGGCTGCAGTGTGGCCAGGGGAGAGGAGGAGGCATGGCCTGGAGAGAGCGCCAAGGGCCAGATACAGAGACCAGGAGTCAGTCCCCGAGGCCTGAGCTTCCCCACCCCTGTTGTAAACAGGCCATGAATAGTCAAATGCTACACAGCCCGTGCACTCCCAAACCTTCCAGTGAAACACAAAGGCATGAGATATTCCACTTATTTATTTATTCCTTGTATTTGTAGTCTGCTTTTCTTTCAAATCTATCCCAGGGTGTTAAGGAAGAGCAATGAAGTGCAATTACACAACTCATATTCTACCAACTATTCCACCCACCGCCACTTGTAACAGTTTGCAGGGTTACCCCAGAGCCGTTCCTTTTGTAGGATTAGCCGTCAGCTCGGAGCTTGTCTTTATGATGGGTAATTCAACCCCACCCACAGAGTCCAGCCGCTGGTATTTAGGTAAGCAATCAAGTGACAGATGCGTCACCTGATTATCACACAGGAATTAAAACCAATGTCTCCCACACTTTTAACTGTATACAGTGTGTGTGTCGAATGCTGAAGCATCTGTCTTTTAGGTAATACTGTATTTTTCAGTCTATAAGACGCCCCCATGTATAAGATGTTCCCTATTTTGGGGGACTCAGATTTAAGAAAATGAGGGCGATGTATCTGTGTATAAGACACTCCTTAATTTTTGACATCATTTTTTAGGGGAGAAAACCTAGCCAGTGTGGTGTAGTGGTTAAGAGCGGTAGTCTCGTAATCTGGGGAACCGGGTTTGCGTCTCCGCTCCTCCACATGCAGCTGCTGGGTGACCTTGGGCCAGTCACACTTCTTTGAAGTCTCTCAGCCCCACTCACCTCACAGAGTGTTTGTTGTGGGGGAGGAAGGGAAAGGAGAACGTTAGCCGCTTTGAGACTCCTTAAAGGGAGTGAAAGGCGGGATATCAAATCCAAACTCTTCTTCTTCTTCTTCTTATACACGGAAAAATATGGTACTTTACATGCACTGGCAAACCTGGAATAGCTCAGTCAGTAGAGCATGAGAATCTCAGGGTCGTGGGTTTGAGCCCCACATTGGGCAAAAGATTCCTGCATTCCAGGGGGTTGGACTAGAGGATCTTTGTGGTCTCTTTCCAACTCTACAATTCTGTCATTCTATGATGATGGAGTCCATCTCAAAATCCCACCGTGAAGTGAAAAAACCGAGAGATTCCAGACAAAAGTCACAGATGCTCTAGAACAGAGAACCGCTAGTCTGATCTGGCCCGTCGTGTGCCCTCTCCAGTGCCCTCTGCCAGCCCTGCAGCCCAATTTTTTCTGGTGGCAATTAAGTACGTAGAGCAAAAGAAACAGAGGTGGAGTTAATTTCATCCTCATCATGGTTTAAATCCTTTCATCACACCAAGATGCAAATTGCCCCCTCCCTGCTCATCTGTTTGGACGCCTGAAGAGAAGCGTAAGAAGCTGCCTTTTACAAAGTAAGACCATTGGTCTATTGAGTTCAGCATTGCTTGCACTGACTGGCAAAGACTCTCTGGGATTTCGGGGGGGGGGGCGTTTCTAGCCAACCTTACCTGGAGATGATGGGAATTGAGCCAGAGACCTTCTGCATGCAAATCAAATACTCTACCACCTGAGCTATGGCCCTTCCCTGGTAGAGCATGAGCGGGGAGTGTGCAAAAGGCTTGTGTGTGTTGCGTGCGGATGTTCCATGCATGGTGTGTGTATGTACGGAGGCCATTGGCCACATCCACTGCCAGCTTGTGGACTCAGGAGGGCTGGTCGAGGGCGAGTGCAGCTCTCAGACCAATCAAGGGTCGCCATCCCTGTGTGGCAATGGTGCCAATGATATGGTGCTTGTATACAGTACTTCTAAAAGGCTGCCAAGTGCCTGCCATTTAGCTACAGCCACAAGGTTCGAGGTGCTGGTCCTGGTAAACAAAGCCCTATACAGCTTGGGACCAGGAGACCCCAAGGATTGTCCCATCCCCTAGATTGCCAACCAGTCACTGGGCTCTGCAGGAGAGGGCATGCTGCAGACCTCTTCCTACCAGGAAGCCTGTTCTGCATGATGTCGCGATCAGGCCTTTAGCGTAGTAGCACCTTCTCTTTGGAACTCTCCTTCCCATTGTATATCAGATAAGTTCCTTCTCTGCTGCCTCTTTAAGGAGCAACTAAAGACCTTCCACTTTTAACAAGCCATCTTAAGTAATCTTTATCCTAGTTCAGGCATAGGCAAACTCGGCCCTCTAGATGTTTTGGGACTACAATTCCCATCATCCCTAGCTAACAGGACCAGTGGTCAAGGATGATGGGAATTGTAGTCCAAAACATCTGGAGGGCCGGAGTATATATGTGTGTGTGTGTGTGTATGCTTTCTTCACACACACAGTAAGCCCGCAATCTATGTGCATTTAAATTGTGCACATTCAGCTTTTTTTTGGTGACAAAAAAATTTAAAAATTAAAAAGGGGGTGGAAAGAGGGCAGGAGTCTGGGGGGAAAGGCTTTGGTAATCCCTCCCACCATTGCACCTGTTGTCTTTTAACTATACACAATTTTGGCTTTAGGTGCTATCCCTGGCTTAACGTTCACACCATTAAAAAAAAAATCTATCTATGTATATTTTAAAGAATGTTTTATTTTTGTAATTTTTAGAAGCAGTTTTCATATATGTAACTGTACCATATATGTTTTTATTTAGCTGCAATTCACTTCGGGGTTTCCCCCGCGGGAGTGATTCATAAATGAAAACTATTACTACCACTATGAATAATAATAATATTAGCTACTACTACAACTTACCCATCTCCACCCTGCTCTCGAGATGAGCCAAGGGCCACATGGCCGGGTGCTAAGCTCCTGGATAGCTTGATTCCTCCTCCATGTGCTGTGTGATAAAGCTTTTCCATGGGCCTCGCCTCTGGAGTCACGGCACATGCTTGGGCTATGGAATCTCGTGTGGCACACCCTCAAAAATGCACCGTGGCAACTTGAGAAAGAGACGCCTCTTCATCCTGTGAGGTTGGCCCTCTTGGGAGCCAAGGGTGTCATTAAAATTAATTGTGAGTTTCAGAATGCTAATAACCCCGGCAGGTTTTTTAAAATAGTGACACCTGAAGGTCCGGCTGCACATTAGGTGCTCAGAAGGACGTACTGCTCCTCGGCTCCACTTGTCTGTTCCTCACCCTGTATTCCTCCCATTGCTCCACACCTGATATACTTCCTTTGCACGGATTTCTTGAGGGATTAGCAGGCTGAGAGAGGATCTCGGTGGAAGATGAATCACATGGACTCCATCTTCAAGAAGGTGAGCCCAGGAAAAGCAAGGCTGGAATGGATGAGAGATAAGAGAAACCCCATACATGTTATCTGCCTGTTCACATGTCTCTGGTGTGGATTAAAGGGGAAGACATAGAGAGACATGTATTTTTATTTTAATCTTTTCCCCTTTGAATGGAAAAGTTCCCTTCCACCCCAGGCTCTTAAAATCTTGACCTGAAAAGATGACTTCGGTGGAGCTTCCACACGGAAATGATCTGTGGAGAGTTTTGCAAAATAATTTGCGGAAGGTGAACTTTAGCTGGACTGAGGCTAAAGAGACTTGGGTTCAAATCCAAGCGGCAATCTGGCACACACTTACTCGGGAGTAATTCCCATTGAACTCGGTGGGGCTTGCTTCTGATTGCAATGTTTAAGTCAGAAAGCCCACTGGCGGTGCAGTCCTAAGCATGTCTACTCAGAAGTAGGGCTCCAAGGATTTCATTGGGAGAGACTGTGGCCCAAAATGCTTTTAGACCGATCACTGTTCTCCAATCTGCCTCCCAGGGTTGTTCTGGACTTCTGGGTGAAAATGTGGGGTAAAAATGCTACATATGCTAGGCATCGTTGAAGTTGGAAGAGATATAAAATAAATAAAGGGTGAAGTGATAACTTTGGAGAAAGTGGGGCAGCATCTGATGAAATGAGAATGTGAACGTAAAGCTTAGCCAGAGCTGTTCATCGAAACCTTATCTCAAATCTTTCCAAGAACAGTATGCTTGTCCTAAGAGTGGCACAGTCAATCCAGGACTTAATTTGGATGATCTTGCAGAATCTGGGTAGCGCCAATGATTGTTTTCATGTTCATCTGAGGTTGGCTGGGGTGGTTATGGTGTGGGTGAACCCTTTTATAGTCTCGTATCCTGACTTCATGTTTTTAACACTGGCTGGGGTGTGTGTGTTTTTATTGTTCTGTTATTGCTCTGGCTGTAAATCACTTTGGGACCTTTTGTAGTGAGAAGCCATATACAAATTTAATAAACTCAAACCTGCTTCAAAATGTGATGAGCCCTCCATGATGCATGGGGGAGGGACCCTGATACACGTTTTGCTACATTTTGCCCCAAAGTCCTGCCTTGATGACGGCACCTGCATACCCAGGGAAGCTGGGCCAGTAAAAGGAATGGCTTATCATTGATCTTCAGTGGGTGTGTTGTGACCTACAACTGAACTGTAGTCTACTCTAGAGGCGACATGCCAGCGATACCTTTTTAAGAGAAGGGAAAAGATGGAGATTAGGAGAAAGGGGAGGTGAAGAGAAAACTCAGCCATGAAGCTCATAGGGTGACGTCTGTCCAGTCATTCCCTCTCAGCCCAACCAGGGTTGTTGCAGGAATTAAATGAGGAGGTTATGCCACTTTCAGCTCCTTGGAGAAAAAGGTAGGATATAATAATAATAATAATAATAATAATAATAATAATAATAGAACAGAGGCAGGAGATGAATGGGTGTAAAGAATCAAAGATTCTAGGTACATCCCATATGCACTTTATATCTCAGCATCTCATTTTATGATTATGCCCTGACTGGGACAATAAAAGGGTATTGCCACCACAGGAAACTAGAACTGCAACTGGAAAACACCAACAACCATTTCTGTTATTTGCTCTCATTCAGACTTCACAAGCTTATCTAAAATATGGATGATGTTCTGTCAAGTGATCTATAGGACTAGATCATTAAATAGGACTATAGCTATATCATTTTGGTGGTGGTGCTGTTGTTGTGGGGAATTGCCCCAGGCCTCACACATGGAGGGGGGTCACATCAAAACTGACAATCAACATTAATAAGTAGGCATTAACCTATGGCAAACCTAGTAAAGGCCCACAGGGAAGTGGGGGCAAAGGATATATAATGGCCCATAGGGATGTAACTACAAATTGTATTTGTTAGAATAGCCAAATCTCTTTTAAACTGGCATGATACATCAGAGGCTAAAATTTTGATATTTCCCGCTGAGTTGTATGGACAAATTAATGTTTTTGCTTAATTTTACTTTAGACTCCCTTTCTCTACAAGATGAAGAGGGGGTTGTTCCGTTCTATTAACATGGAATTAATAGAAAATAAATATTTTTTAAAAAACTTGCTTTAAATGTGCAGATGGGGGCCTTAGAAACTTCCTCATCCTAATATGAGCCCCTATAATCCAAGAAAATATGGAGGGCACCAGGATGGCAAAAGCTGCTCTACAATATCTGTGTTATTTTAACCAGGTTCTGATTTGTCTTCCAACAGCATAGAGAGGAGAGCTGTTAAGTGCTGGAAGCAGAGCCTTTACGGTGGCTGTGGAAATCCCCCTGAAATGAGAATTTCCGCTTCTTTAGTCACCTGCAGAAATGCCTGCAGGGTGCGGCCTTCCCCTCTGGCTTTTGGAGAGGCAGTTTAAGTATAGCTAGAACAATTCAGAAGGCCATTAATCCCTATCCCCCACTGCAAACAAGTCTAAGGATGGGTAAATGAAATAAACATATGTTACTCCCCACTTAACTCCTTCCTGCTGTTTCCTGAGTGCCACACTTTTGTTTGTAATGTCCCCGGGGCAGAGACCTGCCCTCTTATGCTTTGCAAAACCCCATGAATGTGCCAAAGTGTTGTAGGGGTTTGCATGTGGGACTAGAGCCCCGCAGAGACCAGGGTTCAAATCTCTCACTCAGCCACAAAGCTGGACAAGTGGTTTTGGGCCAAGTCATCCACCCAACTCTCATCCTGACCTACCTCCCAGGGTTGTTGCGAGGAAAGCAAAGCAAAGGGAAGAGAGACATCTTACACCCAGCCTGAGCTCCTGAAGAAATAACCACCATATTAGTTTAGCTTTGTTTTTATGATTTTGTTCCTCAAAAAAAATAAAAAAAATCACTGTATTTTTGCTTGCCTCTTTTGAGGGAAAGGAGCAGAAAGCTATGACGTACACAAAAAATGTCAGGGTTTCCAAGGTTTCGTGGGCTTAAAAAAAAAAAAGAAAAAGGCTATACTTCGAAAATTCCTGCAGCTCCCCCGCAAAAAAAAGAGGAATTTGGAAGGCAAGGCAGGTGCTTGAACTCCCTGGAGCAAATGCAGGAGTCAGTGTGGTGCAGTGGTTCGAGTGTCGGACTAGGACCTGGGTTCAAATCCTGTCGCGACCTCCCTCACAGGGTTGTTGTGGGGATCAATTGTGGGGATCAATTGAGGAGAGGGAGAGCCATGCGCGCCACCTTGGAGAAAAAGGCGGAGTGTGAATGCAACCAATCAATAAAGATCACAAAGAGTTGAAGGATCCGATCCCGCGGCTGCAAAGCGCCAGCCAGTTCCCGCTTCGGTCGGGTTAAGGGAACAAGCGAAATCGAAACCGGAGGTGGAAGCAGCGGCCGGACAGTCTCTGCGCGTCGAGGAGCCGTGAGTCAGTCCGTCGGCCGCCCGGCTGGTCTCGGGATTGCAGGCGGAGCTCCGCCTCCTCCTCCGCCGGGCTTTCCCCCGTCACGGCGGGGACTGCTCCGCCAGTGGCTCCGGGTGCGAGTTCGGAGAGAGGTGGCCGTCCTGCCCGGCTCCGGCTGCTGCTGCCTTCCTTGCTCCCGGGGCGCCAACTCCGCAAAGGCGCTGGAGGCGAAGCTGGCTGCGCGGGACGCGACGCCGGGAAGCGGGGCAGAGACCGACGCCCGCCCCGTCGGAGAGCCCCCTCGGAGAGCCGAGGGAGAGAAAGCAAGTAAGCATCGGGGCCACCCACCCAAAGAACGACGGCTGCTGCTGCTGCGCATTTTTGCTGAAAGGTTCCCCGTCGCCCCGAGTTCCGCTTTCCGAATTTTCCATATCGAAATCAAATTAACCTGTTGCCTGTCCTGAGCTTCCGATACATAGCGAGATATATAGTGCTTTATAGACATCTCCCATTCAGTTTTAATATGAAAAGGGACCTGCGTTTTAAACTTCCGCAGCAGCTGCGTGGTGATAGGAAGAAGGGGCACTTTCTCTTCCCATTTTACAGCTGGGAAACTGAGGCTGAGAGTGACTTGTCCGCGGGATATCATGCCGAATAGCATTGGGGTGATCCCTCTTCATTAAGAGGGCGTATTTATTAAGGAGATGAACCTATGATGACAACATCCCATTCCCAAGTGCTGTGATGCTTTAAAAAGCTTATATAGACTTGGGCTGCAATCCTGTACACACTTAACCTGGGAGCAAGCCCTATTGAACTCAATGGGCTCACTTCTGTGTAAGGCCAATTCCTTTTACCCAGAGTGCCACAGCCCCATTCCAGCGACATGATATTCAGATAATTTTCCTTTGGAGATAATGGGGTTTCCGACCTTAAATTAACCAAGCTGTAATTCTGTGCACCTTATATCTGGGTGTAAGTTCCTATTGAGCTCAGTGGGGCTTGCTTCTGAGCAGACGTGCATGGGATTGCAGCTTCAAGTGGTTTTTAATTGGTAATGTGAATCTGGAAACTGTCTTGGCCAGAAGGCAAACTTGCATTACAAATGCCTCTTCAGTCTTTTGCATTGACAGCCCATCAGATATTCACAGTGCTAGTGCGAGGGGATCTCAGCTGTGATTTCATCCATCCCTGCAGAGGAAATGAATGCAAGTGTGTTTGGGAAGTCCCCATTCAAAGCTCCCCTCTGGCGGTAAGCCTCTGGCGTGCAGCCTCAGACCCTCCCATGACAGCTAGAGGAATAATAAGTCTGATCTGCCTTATAGCATTGTTGTAAGGAATGGTATGTGTGAAGTGTTTTGGGTACTCTAGAGAACTGCTAAGTACTGTTAAATTTGTTTAGGGTCAGAGTGTTCAAAGCTTTTATATAAACCCTGCACAAATAGTCCCTAGTAAATCAGTTTGTACCTGTAAAATGGAGTGTGTTTGTCTATATAAAACAGTTTGTGTTTTTTTTTAATAGATCAGTTATTGCATTTTGAAATGCAAAAAATAAAAATAAAATAAAGGCATTTGGCACCTGAATGAGTCCTCATCCCACTGCAAAAAAGGAAACGCTTTCAATATATCTGGGGCTAGTGAAGAAACTGAACATAGAAAGTATTTGCGATTTTAAAAGTAGCAGCTGCTCAGGTTAAGTGCGATTGAGATAGAAGGTCTTTATCCATGCAGGTTATTGTGTCAGGACATTTTCCTGCAGCTCCTGTACCCAAATCCCTTTGTCTTAAAGCCTTAAACCATTGAAACTTATCTTAAGAGTGCAATGCCATTCAGTGCTAGTCCTACTCAGAGTAGATCCACTGAAATGATGAAGCCTAAGTTAGCAATGTCCATAGACGTCAGTGGGTCAACCCGGAGTAGGAGTAGTGTTTCCCTATTGCCCATTGTTACATCAAACATGCCAGTGGATCATTATTTAAAATAAGTCAGCTTGGTACCATTTGCCGAATGGTTGGAGCCAGATTAAATGAGTTTAACTTGAAATCAGTGGGATAAGTTAGTTATGGCTTAACTTAGCTCCTACTGAAATCAACGGGCCTCAAAGTACATGCAGCTAACTTAAGTCTGGATCTGACCCTATGAGCTTGGTGATGATGTCATTGACGTATGCTAATAATGTAAGCAAAAAGGAATGTTTTCCTGCCCTGAGGAGGCTGCAGTATTTCAATAGTGGGAGAGATGACAGGTGAGAACTAAGGGGTTAAGCCAGAGGTTTTGTGGGAAAGAAAGGAAGGTCTGGAGGAAGAAAGAGAATGTTTTGGACTAAAACTCCCATCAGCCCCAGCAAACATGGTCACCCATTGTCAGGAATTTTGGGAGCTGCGGTTCATAACGGTATGGTATAGTGGTTAGTGTGTTGGACCTTTGGCCAGTCACTGACTCTCAGCCTAACCTACCTCAGAGGGCTGTTGTGAAGATAAAATAGAGAGCGGGGGAAACCATGTATACCACCGTGAGCTCCTTTGGAGGTGGGATATAAATCTGACGATTAAAATAGCAACAGTAACATATTCTGGCCATTCCTGACTTTGGGGTTTTGAAAGAAGAAGATGCCAAAATTGGGTTAAATTCAAACATGCTTATACTTAGAGAAGACCCCTTGAAGTCAGTGGGGTTTCAGTTAGCCTTCACTAAAATCAACCCATTGTTTGTATGTTAACACTATGGATGGAGACTAGCAAGCAAAAGAAATGTGATTAGCGCGTGTCGTGTCACTTGGGCAGTTGTGGAGCACGTAAAAAAGTAGTATGCAGAAGTTGCCACAGTTCCTTTTTCTACTTTTCATTGTTGCTGGGCTCTCCCGGCGCGAGATGTTGCATCATCTCGTGCGAAGGGGCAGCCGTGAGCAGAAGCAGTGGTTCTCCTGAGTGAACATGAAAGTGAAAGGGAGCCTTCTTGATTTCATTGGGTCACCCCCTGAGGAAATTTCACTGGGGATTTCTCTGCTTTTTCTCTTAAGACTTACAGGAGGGTGGCAAATGGTGTCTAGGCTTGGTGCCTCTGCCTTTTGAAGAGAGCTCAGTGATAGGACATGCGTTTTGTGTGCAGAAGGTCCCTGGGGTCTCCGCTTAAATGGAGCTGGGAAAGAGGCCCCTGTCAGGATCAACCAAAGCTTTGCCCTTCAGATGTTGCTATACTACAACTCCCATCATCCCTGAGCATTCGGACTGATAGGTGTTGTAGTCCATCAACACTATATTGGCTCTCCCTAGCACCACTTTGGGGGTTTTGAGAGCTGCTTAACCACCAAGAGCAGAGGGGCAGTGCTAGGCAAGATGGCCAACATCTTCTGCCTTTGTTCACATGCCCAGCTTGGAAACACGACTGGCATCCCCTGAAAGCCACTGCCTTCCCCTTTGGGGTGGAGAGGGTGAAAATATGCTGCCAACCGCAGTTCCCAGTGTCATGTCTGTCTGGATGCTCCCGACCTGACTCACCTGCAGTCTGTTTTGTTTACCTGATAGCAGCACGTTGCATGAATCAGATTTGTGGAGAGAAATGTAGTAAGCAGGGGAAAGGAAACAGGCCCGCCTCAAAATTAGGTCATGTTTCTGCCCAATGGGGACACGGGCAGGTGTCTTTGTCCCAGATAAAGGAATGCTTGCTTACGCCTCCTCTTAATAGCTTTGCTGGTCAGCTACTCCAGAGTTATCTGGAATGCCACCTTAATGGGAACCTGCAACGTTTCTAACCCATCACGTGGGGAGCATTCCCTGTGTGGCACTTGGGCAAGGTCTTCTTGGCCAATCCCAATGTGACAACAAGTGGCTTCCCCTAGCTAGCATCCCTCCAGGGGACTTAGCACTTTGTCGGTGCAAGAGGCTCAAAGGGTCAGCTGTGCTGCAGGTTGCCTGGAATAATCTCTCCGGCCTCCTCCCTATGTCCTGGCAAAGCTCCTTTCCTGGAAAATGTGCCACGCACATTGCCTTGTGGAAAGATTGCCTTGTGAATTTCTTTAGTGGTGTTGCTTCAGAGTCTGCGTGGGACCATCATCACTGCTAGAAATGGGAAACAACAGCCACAGGCCTTTCCCCACCAAGAAAATTAAAATCCGGTCCTGATACAACCTAGATACAGAGCAAAAGTGCCTTGAAGGGGTATGTACACTGGAAGATGGGAGAGTCAGGGGCTCTCCAGATGTTGCTAGACTACAATTCCCATCATCCCTGACCATTTGCTGTGCTAGCCGGGGCTGATGGGAGTTGGAGTCCAGCAACACCTGGAGGGTCACATGTTTCCTACCCTTGTGTGACTCTGCTGATTTAAACTGCTTTACCTAGTCATTCCCTTTCCTCAGGGAATTCTGGGATTTGTAGTTTTGTGCATTCAGGTAGGTAGCCGTGTTGGTTTAACGCAGTCGAAATAAAAAATTTAAAAATAAGTCCAGTAGCACCTTAGAGACCAACTAAGTTTGATCTAGGTATAAGCTTTCGTGTGCATCTGAAGAAGTGTGCATGCACACGAAAGCTTATACCTAGAACAAACTTAGTTGCTCTCTAAGGTGCTACTGGACTATTTTTTAACTTTTTATTAGTTTTGTGCAGTGAGGCTAAGGAGCTCAGGAACCGCAGTTCCAAATATTTACAAGGCGTGCATGTGTGTGTTCAAAGAGTCCATTAATTATCACCCTATGAAGATAAAGGGAAAGGGTGTTTGGGATATTTAGGGGTTCTTGAAGACAGGGTGGAGTATCTAATTCACTCAAAGGGGATGGCTGTTTTAGGTCATCTTTTGATGAGAGGGGCGTGGTCCACCATGCCAGGTTTCACTGCCAGTCTCACCACAAGGTTGTTGATCTGAAATTGCTGAATCTACAATGCAGAGTATTCCAGATCTTCCAGAGCTGGTTTAATGTGTGAATAGAACGAAGGGGCAGATTCATGCAACTTTTGTATCCACTGTTGGATGATTCATTGTATTGTTGTTTTAGGCAATCCATGCATAATAGTATATGCTCTAGAATTCCATATAAATTTGGCAAGCCCCAAAACTCATGTTTCCCAGGGTTGTGTGGGCATGCGATTCTGATAAAGGTTGAATTCTTCTTGTGATGTTGTTCTACCTGAAACTCCACTGTGCTCTGCAAAATCAGCTGGGGTTTTTTTGGGAAAAAATCACTTGGGTGGCTCCATCCTAAGCGCTGTTTGCAGTGCTAGAATCTTGTCTATGGCTGGAGATGTATAGGGAACCTTTATGCAAACACTGATTGTGGGAACCTGTGTCAGGAGTGTATGTTAGTCAAGCGCTTGAGTTGCTGTTTTGTACCGTAGATCGGGATATGCAGTGTGGTGCCCTCCAGATATTGTGCACTACAACTCCCGTCATTCCTGATGGTTGGCTATGTTGGTTGGGGCTGATGGAAGTTGTAGTCCAATTGCTACACAAACTGCAGCAATTGTAGATCTCTTGGCTGTAAGAAAGTGTGTCAAATGATCAGTTGTATCATTTTGTGAGAGTTTCTTTCGGAATTCAGGAATTTATGAGCTTTTCCTGCCTGTTAGGAATACATATTTTTCTTTTTCAGAGGACAGGGCATATATGCCCTAAATACTATAGTGCTGAAGGTTTTGTATTAAAAAGGCCTACTTAATGAATGCACTTGAAGTCAAATATGGTGTCAAGTGTGGGGCAGGTAAAAACTTGGCTCTGCTGGAAGGTGAAGCCGCACCAACCTGGTGACCAGCAAAGTGTTGCCTAAGATACCGCTTTGAAAGAAAGTCATGAAGATCAGCTGACTGTCGGGTCCTCAGAAGCCCCTTCCAGTGCCCTGTCTTGCACAGTGCTTTGGAAGGGCAAAAAAGGACAGCTGATGTCATTGTGATGTCAGGTGATTGGCAGGTGGATGGCTGCTTACTCACCTGTTGAACCTTGACAGATGGGGGAGATAACAATCTCACCTGCTGGCCAGATGCTTTCCCCCTCCCATGCTGTGCTAGAGATTTAGTCTGCCAGTGTGAAACTTCGCTTCCGGGACCAGTGATCCAAACTGTAAAAGGAGAAAAATAAATAAAATGAAACCCATGTGAAAAACCCAGGGCTTTCCATCCTTGGAATACTGGGTGGAAGCAACTACTTGGGACGGGGGTAAAGGGAGGTATCTATTTACTGAATTGGAAAGCATTGTTGTGGAAGAATCCCCTTTGCAAGAGCTCAATCTACTTTCCTATACCATCATGGAAACAATTATATCTTTTTAAAAGAACACTGATAAGCCTCACAATACAGCCATTTGAGTGTAGGCAGCAGGAAACCTAGGAGATGTTGGCCCTGGCAATCTAAAAAGAACAACAACATTAAGATGGGGACACTTCTGGCTGTTTCTGGTAAAAAGACAAAAGTATCCTATCTCATGGTCTGTTTCAAAATAATATAAGATGGGTCAAATCACACTCTTCAGCTAGTGAGTGGCTCTCCCTTTCCCCAGTTCATATTATGGCTGTGGACCAGCATGTTCAGCCCGGCCTCTTCTCCTTTCTTTTAATTTCATACTGGAGGATTGCAATCTGCAGATGGCCCTGATCCTTTTTGCAAAGTTGCTGCAAGGTCCGCAGCCTCCTGACGTGGTCCTTTAACATAGATCCCGATGGGTGTGTTTTCCACGTACCCTGTTTGAAAACATTTGCCAGAAGGCTTCCACAGCTATGTTCTGAGAAGGATGAAGATAAGGATCTTGGCCAAGGATGATAACTAAGCATGCCACTCTGACGAGGCACGCAGGGCTGCCTGACGGCTGCAGCAGATCAGGTGTCACCCGTCCAACCTTTGATCTCTCTGTGTCACTGTCCAGTTCTTCCTTCTTGTCATATGTAGACACTAGCGGCTTGTGTTCAGCAAGCCAGGTGAGTCAAGAGGCACTTGTCTTCATCTAGAAGAAAGGTAGGCATACTTTTTGCATTGTATTTGAAAGTGATGGGTAGTCAGGGTGAAATTTAGACCGCTTTCAAAGGACGGTCCATCTCCAGTCCTGTCTGAGATGGTCCGATCATCTTAAAAGCATGAGAAAATATAGCAAGCCTGCTGGATCAGGCCCACTGAGTCCAGCATCCTGTTGCTACTAGGTGGTCAGAGGAAGCAAGGCTTCTGAATCCCATTTGCTGGAAACCACAGGAGGAGAGAGTTCTCTTGTGTTCATGTTCTGCTCCTTGGTTTCCCACAGGCATCTGGTTGGTCATGGTGAGAGCAGGATGCTGGACTAGATGGGTGATTGGCCTGCTCCAGCAGACTCCTCTTACATGCTTATGTGGGAATGCCTGTGAGCTGGACATGGGTGCAACTGTACTCTGCTCACCTGTGATTCCCAGCAGCTGGTATTCAGAGCCACGGTGCATCTTACAGAGGAGGTAGAACATAGTCATTGGGCCCAGGGCTGGGCAATATATTGATATATGGTCCAAAACCGGTTTGAAGTCCATATCGTGATATCGGTTTCATCGGTTTCGACTTGGCAATATATCGCAAATCACGATGCGTGTTAGGGCTATGCGATCTATCATCCAAAACTGGTTGAAAGTCCATATCATGATACCGTGGTACCTCGGGTTAAGTACTTAATTCATTCCGGTGGTCCATACTTAACCTGAAACTGTTCTTAACCTGAAGCACCACTTTAGCTAATGGGGCCTCCTGCCGCTACCGCGCCGCCAAAGCATTATTTCAGTTCTCATCCTGAAGCAAAGTTCTTAACCTGAAGCACTATTTCTGGGTTGTCTTCATTTCTGGGTTAGCGGAGTCTGTAACCTGAAGCGTATGTAACCTGAAGGGTATGTAACCCGAGGTACCACTGTATTGGTTTCATAATTTCATAATTTCTAGCTTGGTGGTTTCATAATTTCTGGCTTGGCGGTGTATTGTGAATCATGACACGTGTGTGTGTGCGCGCACGCACTATGCAAAAATCACAATGTGGGAAAAACCGTGAAGCCAGACAATGCCTCTACATAGCTCCATCCTTATGGTGATATATCAGTATATTGTGATGTTTGGCTGGTGATATATCACAAAGTTGCAAATCAGATATCACTCAGCCCTCATCGTGGCTAGTAGACGTTAACAGCCTATTCTTCCACAAAACTTAGCATGTGTCATCTTTCAGACAGGAAACACCCCCCACCCTTTTCTCAGGACTTCTCTGTTTCTTCCTATGAGTTCAGGGCCAAATCATCTAATGAGAATGAGGCTCTTCTCCAGTGGTGTGTGCTATTCCTTAGAAGTTCTGTGTTGCCTAAACAAAAACAAAGGGGATACGTTCCTCTTTGCCTCTGTGCAAAAGGTGCTAAAAGGTAGTCTGGCTTGACTTGTGCTTTTTAATAAAACACCAGAGGGTAAATATGCTTCTGAAGCCAAAAAATTTGCTCAAGCCCCAGTTTCCTTCTTACCAATGTCTATGGCGATATGTTATGTGTTGGGGAATTTCCAGTCACCTGATGGTCTAAAATAATGCAATCCTTGTTTTTCCAGGTTTTTAAGGAGTGTGTTGTGAATAGGAAGGTTCCTTCTGATTGTGGACTGGAAAGTGCTTTTAGTTGGCATGTCAGTTTTGGATTCCTGTAAGTTCCCCTCCCCAATCCTCTTACTGAAACTATGTCAAGAATCACGTAGAAAACAAAACAGCAACAAGCTGGAAGCAAAACAATGGGAGGGGTGCCATTTCAACTGATCACACTATAGTTGCAGAATGTTTTTGGTAGCTTCCTGTAATGTGGAGTCTTGCAGGGTTTTTTTTTTTTTCTTTTTAATGTTGCACCACATATTGCTGGAATGCAAAAAAAAATTAGAAAGACAAATTGCATAATGATTATCCTGTTACAGCCATTGCAGCACATTCTTTGATTGTCCTGGTGGGGAAAGTGACTTTGGTCACAGCTAGGGACACAATCCAGAGTGAGCTCCAGCCTGGGTTTCCTTGTAATGCATAGGAAGGATTGTGATACCTCTCAGATTCCAGATCTTTACTCCAAACGGTAGCACTTCTGCTGATGGGATATTGCATATTCTCAGCCCAAAGCAGACTCTCTCACTCTCTGTTTTCTTTTAAACTGGGAAATCGTTATGCTTCCACCAGATATCACGGACATAGGCAATATGGCTGTGGTGCATGGATTGCAGCAGCTGGAATGTGATGGCATGGACACTCATTGGCTAGTTTCTGTGATGTGATGAACCACACCTGCCACACAGCCTGTGTAATTCTTATGCATTTCCCACATCAATTTCTTTGCTGGATGAGTGCTCCTCTCATCAAATGCATTTAAAAGGGGGGAAAGGGGGGCATGGGATCTAGGCAGGTTTCAACCAATGAGTGAAGGAGGTGGCCTGGGGCTTCCCCAGCCTGCAGCATTTCCCTGGTAGATTCCCCACCCCCCACTGCTAAACTTGAGCAGCCACTGTCACAGGCAGCCCATACACTCTTCTCTAGTACATATAGGGCCAAAATCACCTTTTCGATGCCTGCTGGAAGGTGCAGGGGTGGGGAAAAGGGCAGGACAGAGTCTCCTCCAGCAGGCGGCTGCAGCAGAAGGTATGACTTCTCTTTCAGAAGGAGGAGGGCAGCTGAAGGGAAGGCCCCACAGCAGGGGCCATCCCATGCTGTCCAGAATTACACCAGAGATATGGAACTCCCACCACCTCTGACCATTGGCCAGACTTCCTGAGGCTGATGGGAGTTGAAGTCCAGCAACCTCTGGCAGCCTACAGGTCCACCAGCCTTCAAGCACACAGTGATATCCCTCCTCCCCTGTACTTGTAAGCCTAGTCAGCAAAGTGTGCACCTCAACTCCACTGACCCGAGCCCATTGCAGTCGCTGCTGCAGGCTTGGATCCTTAGCTCTCTTCCAATCTGTTGTGTCGGAGAGCACTGCCTTCCCATCACATTAATCCAAAAGGGCCCTGTGGCCTTCAGATGTTGTTGGAGTCCAAACCCCAGCAGCATAGCCAAGGGTCAGGGATGTTGGGCATTGGTCAGGCAACCTCTGGAGGGCCACAGATTCCCCATCCTTACAGCAGTATCAGTACAAATCTCCTTTTGACCGTCCTCTGAAAAAGACCATGTTAAGTCCCATTGATTTCAGGGGTGATTAATGCACAGTTAACATGCAAGTCCGGTGGGACTTAAAAACATGTGTAACCTTGGCCCACTGTAAGAATCCCTTATGGCCATCTGCCAACTTGCCCAGTTGCTTTAACTGGGGCTTGCAATCTGATCCTATACATGTTTCTTTGAAAGTAGGCCTTGGTGAGTTCAATGAACTTGCTTCCTAGTAAGGTCACAGCCGCTCCATACATTCTAATCTCATATAAAACATGTGGCTTTCTGCAGAGAATCCTGGGGGCGGTAATTTGCTAAGGCCATTGGGTACTGTAGCTCTGTGAGGAATAAACTACAGTTCCCATGATTCATTGGGAGAAACCATGTGCTTTAAATGTGTGTTACATGTGTAGCATGGATGTGACCTAAATATATATAGGATCCCTGCCTTATGCCTGTTTAACTACGCAAGGTTATGGTCTAAAATATGTAGACTCCATAGGCTTCTTCTCCCCCTTCAGTGTTAAGATATGCGTGTTCTAACTGCAGGTGCCCAATAACTTCCTATGTTGAAATCATTTCGCTTTCTTCTTTAACTAACTGTGAAATCTTATTCTGCTCTTTCTTTGTGTGTGGTTTGCAGGTAGGATAAGGGGAAGAGGGAACACCGTGATGGAGTATATGAGCACTGACAGTGACCATAAGCAGGAGATTGACTTATTGCTAACAGACTTAAATATGTCTGAAGTGATCGACATCATGGAGAACCTTTACCCAAATGGAGACCTTGCCGTTTACGAAGACAGCCTGCTTGCCCTGTGTCCGGAGACGAACAAGAACGAGGAGCGCGCAGAATCCTTACTGTTCAGCGGAAGGGAAGTTTCAGTGTTGTCGTCCGTCAAGTATGGGACCGTGGAAGACTTGCTGGCTTTTGCAAACCAAGTGTCCAACACTGCCAAGCAGTTTTGCCGGCCCAGAAGACAAGAGTCTGGAATCATATTAAATATGGTACGTTCTTTTCTTTGAAATGCCCGTCTGCCATTGGCCTGTGCTTGATTCAGAGGCAGTAAGCCTATGGCTAGCAGTTGCTTGGGAGTCACAAATGGGGAGGATGCTGTTGCTTATGGGAAGCCCCAGAGAAGAAAATGAGTGTGTCTGGTTGGCCACTGTGGGAACAGGATCCTGGACCAGCTGGGCCTGATCCAGCGGGCTCCTCTTGTCCTCCAGTCGCTGTTGAAGGCCTTGGGATGTGCTGGTAAAAAAAGGGCTTAAAGTTAGGGTCTCCAAGATAGACTCCGGTTTGTGGATTGGATGACCTAGATGCACAAAATGCAACACGCATAGACTAAAATCATAGCAAGCTCCTTGATACAGAGTCAGATCACTAGTCCATCTCGCAGCAGGTTTCAGACAGGACTCAGGGCTTTTGTCTGCAAAGCATGTCCAGAAACTATAGCTCTTCCCCAAACCTTGTCAGTTATTGGAATTTACTGAGGAAATGGACCACACAGTTTTGATTTTTTTTCATGTGTAAGCTGCGTACAAACATTACAGCCCTACCTAGGGATAGAGTCCATGTGCCAAGTGTCTGGTAGGGAGAACAGGTGCGATCGCACTCCCCTCCATGAGATGAACTGGATTGGGGGACAAGTATCCCCCGATCTGTTTCATGCTTCAAGCTGCAATAGAAATTGACAATATTTTCCAATTGCATACCCAGATCTTAATCCTATAATAGAGATGAAGCCTTATTAAACAACTGAAAGAACATTGCTGTGAGCTTGGGCAGTCAGATAGAACTGGATGGGTCTTCCCAGCTGTTTTGGAATATTTTTTTATTGCCTTCTTTGCAATATGGACAGTGTGACTTTCTGTCAACAGCTCTGACTCTCGTGAACCAAGCCTGCCCACCCAAGGGGATGGGAGGGTATCCTGACGCAATGACAGTTTCATGGCTCTTGAAGTTGCATAGTGCAGAGGAGCTGGGAGACAGAAATGTTGTGCAGAAGGCAGCTGCTGCAGCAGAGCTAAGGTGCTAAAGCCCCTGTGTTAGATCCTGCAAACAGCTTGGCTTTAAAATGCATATTGCGGTTTGAATATGGTGTCATCAATTGATTAATTAATATGTCTTGGTTGCCTGGATAGAGGATGGTGATGTTTGCATGTGTGCAGAAGCTAGCCCACTGCAAATGGGTAGAATTTTAATAATAATAATAATAATAATAATAATAATAATAATAATAATTTTATCATTTCTACCCTGCCCATCTGGCTGGGTTTTCCCAGCCACTCTGGGCAGCTTTCAACAGAACATTAAAAACAGAATAAATCATCAAGCATTAAAAACTTCCCTAAACAGGGCTGCCTTCAGATGTCTTCTAAACGTCAGATAGTTGTTTGTTTCTTTGACATCTGATGGGAGGGCGTTCCACAGGGCGGGCGCCACTACTGAGAAGGCCCTCTGCCTGGTTCCCTGTAACCTCACTTCTCGCAGTGAGGGAACTGCCAGAATGCCCTCGGAGCTGGACCCCAGTGTATGGGCAGAACAATGGGGGTGGAGACATTCCTTCAGGTATATCCGTTGCTTTGCCCACTTTGACCTCTTGGTCCTGCACCCCCGGCAAGGTCCCCCAAGAAAGGAATGTGGCGCCAGGCTCAAAAAGCTTCCCCACCTCTGATCTAAACAAACAGCTGACTAAATGTTGCAGCCCTACTTTTAATTGTGAGAAGCTCAAAATCTCGCCTTGCGCTGTTTGAGAACCTTGCATACATAGCGCTTTTGCCGGCCAGCTGTGCTTGTGGTTTCAAAGTACCATTCAAACCTGCATGACGCAATGAGGCTTTATATCTCTCTGCTTATCTTCTCTGAATATTTCGGAAAAGTGCTTCTTTCCCGCTCCCCTGTACCGCCTTTGAGGGTAGGAAGTGTCAAAAACTGTTTGCTTACCTTCTCTAACCAAACCCACAGCTTTGTGGAGCAAGAGGCGGGCAGGTTCCAGGAATGAACAAACAAATCAGCAGATGGACTCATTACGCAAATCCCTCAGCCAGGTTGCTGTTGCCAGAGAGTAAGGTGCAACTGAGTCTTTATGGGAGGCTAATCGCTCACTGGAATTATAAATATTTCCAGAGCAAACTGAATACTTCACGTGCCGTTCCCATTTGATTGGTCTACATAAAGGCTGCTCCTTCCTTTGCGCCACAAGGCTTCTTTGTACTGCGAAGAAGAAATCAGGCAAAGTTAGGTTCCCAGAATGTGAAGGCTTCTCACTCGGGGGGTTGGACTAGATGACCCTTGGGGTCCCTTCCAACTCTTCTATAATTCTATGCTTGGCACACAGAAGGTCCCAAGCTCAACCCCAGGCAACTTCCATTTAAAAGATCTCGTGAAGTGTTGTGTGTGCAGGGACAGCGAGGCTGGAGAACCATGGCAAGAACAGATAGCGCTGGACAAGGGGGATCAGTCAGTCTGATTCTGGGAGGGCAATACATATCTCCAAAAACTAGATATATCTTTCTCTGGTGAGTTTCTCATGGGGGGGGGGGGAAATAGCCTCCTTTAATTTCCCCTCATCTTATTATTTTTTTCTATAGATCAGTCCGAAAAATGGGCGCTATCAAATTGACTCCGATGTGCTCCTGTTTCCATGGAAGCTAACCTATAGAAATATCGGGACTGACTTTATTCCACGGGGAGCTTTCGGGAAAGTCTACTTGGCACAAGATACAGAAACCAAAAAGCGCATGGCTTGCAAACTGGTATGTTCCTAGGGTTCCCTTTCCGAGGGTCTGTTATGTGCTGGGTCTGTACTGATATTAGATGGACTTTCTGCTTTTCATTTAATGTAGTGATAAGTGGGGGGAGGGGGTATTGTTGCTTTTAGGATGGAGGAAATATCTGTCTAGATGTCATTGGTTGTAGCCTGTGCTGATTCTAGACCCACTGAACTGAATGAGTGTGGCTAACTTGGGGCCTATTAATTTCAGTGGGTCTTCTCTGAGGAGATAGCACCCAATATCTCCAGGGTGCTTATGGTGCACTCCGAGATGTGAATGGAGCTCAGTGCAAGCAAGGTCTTTGCCCTGTTGTCTGACACTTTGGGATTTGTGCATTAAGGGGAGGCATTAATTGGTGACAAATGGTGAAGATAATTACTGTATTTTTCGCTCTATAAGACGCACCAGACCACAAGACGCACCTAGTTTTTGGAAGAGGAAAAAAAGAAAAAATATATTCTGAATCTCAGAAGCCAGAACAGCAAGAGGGATCACTGTGCAGTGAAAGCAGCAATCCCTCTTGCTGTTCTGGCTTGTGGGATAGCTGCGCAGCCTGCATTCGCTCCATAAGACGCACACACATTTCCCCTTACTTTTTAGGAGGGAAAAGGTGAGTCTTATAGAGCAAAAAATACGGTATTTAGATGCATGATGATTATGGGAACCCAATCTGGGTCTGGTCTGTGCCCACGTTCAAAGGCCTTGTATAAATTCCATGTTTTTACAGTAGCCCTATCCCGGTGGATTTCTATTTTGAGTGCTTTCCTCAGGGCTTGCTCATATGTCACCACAAAACAATTGCTCAAACCATCAGTCTCCAGTTCTGCTTGCCACCCTCACCCTCAAGCCAAGCATTCCATCAACCAGTGGGGAGGCTGATGAGCGAAGTCCCATCTGCCTCTTCCAACTCACAGCTGGGACAGGGTGGTGGTAGTGGTCGTTGTCCCTGCAGTTGCGTTGAGATTTGGGGATTCTGTGTGGTGAAAATTTCCAATCCCTCTCCAGCTGAGGAAGGCTGCAGTATTCTTTTGGGTAACAAAGGTACTCAAAGCAGCCGCCCAAGTGTTTCAGCCCGGTCCAGCGCCGAGGGCCTTCTGGCGGTTCCCTCACTGCGAGAAGTGAAGTTACAGGGAAGCAGGCAGAGGGCCTTCTCGGTAGTGGCGCCTACCCTGTGGAACATCCTCTCATCAGACGTCAAGGAAATAAACAACTATCTGACTTTTAGAAGACATCTGAAGGCAGCCCTGTTTAGGGAAGCTTTCACTGTTTGATGTTTTATTATGCTTTGAATTCTGTTGGGAGCTGCCCAGAGTGGCTGGGGAAACCCAGCCAGAAGGGTGGGTTATAAATTGTTGTTGTTGTTGTTATTTATTTCCAAAGCAAGCCCCATTCTGGCTCCAGGATGTGGGTGCTGGACATTAGGCGTGCTCAACACACCTTGTCCACACAGCAGCAAAGCAACCCTCCATTCAACTCCCTTGCCCTTCCTCAATTAGTTCACTGTTTCCTGAGCCTTTTGTATTCCCTACCACCTTCCTTCCCTTTGTAATAGTAAGCTCAGAGCACTGACACAATGATCTCCAGAGCATTATGTGTGTCAGTTCATGAACTGTGGATCTTTGCTCTTCCTGCTTTACTTAATCTGCCTCCATTTTGGCCCCTTAGGTCCCAGTGGAACAGTTCAAGCCATCGGACGTGGAGATCCAGGCCTGCTTCCGCCATGAGAATATTGCCGAACTTTACGGAGCCATCTTGTGGGACGAGACAATCCACCTCTTCATGGAGGCAGGAGAAGGAGGCTCTGTCCTGGAAAAGGTGGAAAGCTGTGGGCCTCTAAGAGAATTCGAGATCATTTGGGTGACAAAGCATATCCTCAAGGGACTTGAGTTTCTTCACTCGAAGGGAGTTATACATCAAGATATAAAACGTAGGTTATAATTCACTTTTAAACAGTTGTGCCCTCCCCTTACACCAGTTGCACTGTGTAGTGTTTGAAACCTTCAGTTTAGAAGCTGTGGCCCTCGGAATGTGGTTGGACTCCAGCTCCCATCAGCCTCTGCGAGTTTGGCCAATGGTCAGGGATGATGGGAGTTGTAGTCTAGCAACAGGATTATAGCTTGTCCTTACGTGCAATACCCATGATTTATAAATTGGGCTCAAGATAATCCTGGAAGTTCCTTAGAAGACCTATCTGGAGGTTGTCAGTGAGATTTGTATGTTTATCTTAAGTAAATGTTTATGCCTATGATTTCTGTTCATTCGAATGTGGGAGAGTCTGTTGACAGAATGTTAGAAATATAAAGAAATAAAAGCCGCAGCTGTAAAAAGCATGCCAAAGCCAAACAGGCATAAGGATGACTTCCTACAGTCTGTTCACAAGCCTTCTAAAATAACCACCATAAATGAAGCCCTGTGATCCTTCTGAGGAAGGCAGGTTTTACATCTGTTAATAAGCAGAATAATAAATAGTTCTCCAATGAACCTCAGTAAGAAGGATATACAGAATGAGGCAGATGGTCAGTAATGGCATTTTAGGAGCAATTTCCCCCATGTAAACAGAGTATCTAGAATATGCCTCAGAGGTCACCTACTGTGGTTCTTGGAGCACCTTGGCAGTCAAGCCAAGATTGGAAGTGGTCCTTACTGCACAGCCCTGGGCACGTCTGTTCAGAAATAAGTCCCATGAAATCCATGTACAGGATTGCTGCCTTAATATGTGGAAAACCACTACTTTTCCTTTTTAGAAGATGTGCATCCTTATTACTTACTTCTTAACAGGAAAAACATGTTCCAGATTCCTTGATAGTATTTGCATGCCGCCTGCTAGCAACAACAATTTACAATAACAATTCACATTAAATTCACTTTGAAACTATAAAACCGTTGAATGCAGGATCAGGCTCCAGCAGCAGAGAAATAAAACCAATCGATCAAGCCCCAGGGTAGTGGAGCCAAAAATTCCGCAGAAGTTTTTGGGATAATTGTTTACCCTTATTTGTTTATTTTGCTTGTCATAGCCAAACAGGTTATGTGGGGGAAGCTCCCTTGAGTTTGTGATTGCTATGTTACAAAGGCCAGGATGCCCAAGGAGGGGGAAAAGCCTTTCTTATTCTCCTCTACATCTATAGCTTTAGGCCAGGATTTGTACAAAGAGCCTCATTAAGAGAGGTGTGTCCAGCTGAAATGCCATGAAGTCTGGTGTCTTTGGGGACGCCTGTCTCCAATCTTGCTCAGTTTATTGCTGTCAAAGGCTTCAGCTTCCAGCCTTTGCCCTGAAGCCTGAAAGCTACACAGGAGCTCCAGTTTGTTTGCCTTTTTTTTAAAAAAAATGTCCTGCTTCAGGTGTATTTTTTTTAAAAAAACATTTCTTGGTTAGCCAGCCTATGTGGCTGCTTGGACCCCATCAGTGTCAGAAGGATATTTACAGCCCCAGGAAAGGGAAACTAAACCAGACTTCCTCAACCTCAGCCCTCCAGACGTTTTGAGACTAATATTCCCATCATCCCTGACCACTGGTCCTGCTAGCTAGGGATCATGGGAGTTGTAGGCCAAAAACACCTGGAGGGCTGAGGTTGAGGCAGCCTGAACTAAACCAAAAGGATTTCCCCCTTCCCACAGCCTCTTGTACATTTACACATAGGCTCTTGCAAAATTATTATTAATAATAATATAGGTAGTAGTAGTAATAAGAATAGTAAATAAAAGTGTAGCATTCTTAGCTATTAAAGATACCTAGGGGATAATGATATTTTGCATTTAATTTTAGTATTCAAAGCCCCTTGCGTACATTTCCTCAGTAAACCTTACAAGCAACCCTGTAAGGTAGGCCAGTATTTACTCTTGCCGCATTGCAGGGGGATGACAGGGGAACCCACCTTCAAGTTGTTTAGTTCTGCTGGGGAGAAAAATACAGCGCATATTGCCCTCCGTTTTGCTCCCCTGCACCTCAAGCAGATGTTGAGAGTTCCTCTCCACGTCCCTAACAATCCCTCGTTTGCTCTCCTTTTGTTTCTAGCCAGCAACATTGTTTTCATGTCAACCAAAGCTGTTCTGGTGGACTTCGGTCTGAGCGTTCAAATGACGGAAGATGTTTTCTATCCCAAAGACCTCCGAGGAACAGAGGTAAGAACCATGTGCAAGAAGGGAGCCTTGCTGCTGTTTCTCTCATGTCATTGTAATGAGAGCTGAATGAGAAAGAGCTGCCACAAGGGCGGTGGCGGTGGGGTCATAGTCCCGTTGGAATATCTATTGGGAGCTTGTGCAGAACACTCAGCTGTATCTCCTTTTTGATGTGCTGATGAAAATGAACAAATAGTTGATTTGCACCATCTAAGTTTATAGGCAAAAAGTAATGGTAAAAAAAAAAAAGAGCCTGGAATGCTTTAGTGATAACTGATAGTTTGGGGGGGGGCAGGGAAACTGGACTTTGGTTTAGTTGTATCCCATCATTTCACAGGAAGGTTTCAATCCTAATCTGCAGGTTGCAACGCTGGTCTGCAAATGTATGTGTGCTGAAGTTTCAGTTGCCCGGCTTACAGCATTTCTTCTCTATAACTGTTGGCTCAGTTAAGATGTAACACCAAACCGTGGTTTGGCACTACATGAATGAGCCCTCCTCACTTTGCTCTTTCCCGGGCTCCCGCTGTCTTTTTTTGTTAGCAGGCCTTAGTTTGACAAATGGTTTTGCCTCCAAGGCGAAATGGGAAACCCACTTCAAACCCATCAGCCCTTGCAAGTGTGGCCAGGGATGATGGGACCTGTAGTTCAGCATCATCTGGAGAACCAAAATAATTCCCCCACACCTATGCTAGAAGAGGGGGTGGGGTGGGGAAAATAAAACCACTTCCCTGTTGCCCAATCTTTCTTGCTGTTAAGACTGTCAAGATTCAAGACTGGAGCTAATTTTCCCTCTGGGTTCCGTTTGCAGATTTACATGAGCCCAGAAGTGATCCTTTGCCGAGGCCACACTACAAAAGCCGACATCTATAGCCTGGGAGCAACAATCATCCACATGCAGACTGGCATCCCGCCATGGGTGAATCGCTATCCCCGTGCGGCGTACCCCTCCTACCTCTACATAGTAAGCATGGACTTTGACTGCCTGGGCACATCCCCCTTTCTGATAGCACCTGCCTTATTTTTAGGCTTGTTGACTTCCTCTAGGCACCTGGTTGGCCACTGCAGGAAACAGGGTACTCCCTTAACTAGCATAGGAAGCTGCCTTAGATCATGTCCGAGTTATTGGTCCATCTAGCTCAGAACTGTCCGCTGAGCCTGGCAGCGGCTTTCCAGGGTGTTGGGCAGGGGAAGGTCTCCCCCATCGCCCGCTACCTGGCTCTTTTGACTGGAGATGCGAAGGGTTGATTTTGGGACTTCTCCATATGCTCCATGCGCCCCACCGCTGAGCCTGATCCAGAAATGCTCGTTTTGCAATGCTCTCGAGGGCAAAGCTACAGGCTGAGTCACCCTGAGCAGTTGCCAGGCCCAGAGTGGCAACACAATGAGCACCACAGATAGGTATTTTCCAACCCCACTCGGAAATCGCACTCGGAATGAATTCTCACTGGGACACAAAGCAGGCATGTGATGTTTGAGGCCTGAAACCGGATTTCCAAGTTTCACTTAAAAAAAGCTACAAGAGACTCGGATTAGAGCAGCAGCTGTTGTGTGTGCTTGTGCGTTCACACTATTTCCCCAAGCTATATATTTGCCCATTCCCCTGCTATTAGCCTCACCAAGCTATGTGGGTGGAAGGATACAAATACCTGTTGTCTCCACATACCCAGGAGCAGGATGAGGGGTGGTTTCATTTGGCATGGAAGGAAAGAGTTAGATTCTCACTCAGGACCACTGCTGTGACCCAAACTGGAGCTTGCTCCATCAGCTACTTATTAATATATTTCTAAGAATGCTTGTGTGTCTTCTGTACTGCCCCCGTCCCCAAAGTGTAACAAACCTGCAGGATCTGGACAGCACTTCAGATTGCAGGTGGGGGCTTACATGGTTAAACGCTTGTCAGTCGGCAGGGGATCCTGCACACAGTAAAATCGAAAGTTAGAGGAGCGTTTGGGTTATGAGCTCCCCGCCTGTCGTCTGAAGTGGTACAGCCACAGCAGAGGTTTAGTGCCTCAATGGAAACGAAGCCCCAGATGTGCATTTCCACAGTTGCATCGCTCACTCCCAAGTCTATTTTTTCCTTTTCGTTTTGACCTTCTTGCTGTTTGAACTTGGTAAACTTCCATGGGATTGTGGAAGTATGAACAACAAGGGGAATGATTCCGTTTGTTTCTCTCTGATCTGAGTGGGAGGGAGGTGGAAACTGCAAGCTGTGAAGTTCACAGGCAGAATGTGAACTTGGCAGAGGAACTCTAGGGCGATGATCTCAGGCCCCCGTGACTGTCCCAAGGTTTTAGGCCTCGCAAACTGGAGCCATTGTGTGCAGACGTGGGTTTTTTAGCAGATTTTCTTCAAGCCAGTAGCTGAGTGGTAGATCATCTGCCTTGGATGCAGAAGTTCCTAGGTTCAGTCCCTAACATATCAAGGTGGGGGGGGGGAGAAAATTCTTGCTTGGAAACCTGGAGAGCTGCTGGCAGTCACTGTAGGCCGTGCTGAGTTGGCAGGTCCCCCTGACCCAATTCAGTATAAGGCAGCTCCCTACACTCCTGTGTTTGCAAGGTGACCTTGATATCCCAAGCCTCTTCACAGTGCCAACCAGTGTGTCACGTTGCCAGCACACAAACCGATGTTTGCCGAAACCGAATCGATGCTCCATTTTGGCCTGCAAGCTGGATCGTCCCCTAGTTGCTCTGTGTTCGTTGGCCAAGATTGCGGAGCGAGGATCTCCGACCTTTGGATGAACTCTAAGCCGGTTTGTTAGGGTTTGCTGTTCCACTGTGAAACTGGCTCTGTTTCCAGCTTTGCCGTGGTTCTCCACGACGGCAGCAGAGTGGCAGTTTTCCAAAGCATGAGTCAGGGCGAGGAAATTCCTAGGGCGGTAACCTTATGATAGAAAGGAGCCTCTCCGAAGCTGTTTTTCTCTCTCCCTCTTGGTGAGCATCGTGCTAAAAGCCGCCGGTTTTTCTTCCCTCCCGATAGATCCACAAGCAAGCGCCGCCTCTGGAAGACATTGCTGAGGACTGCAGTGCCGGCATGAGAAGGTTGCTGGAAGCTTCTCTGGAAAGGAACCCAAACCAAAGACCATCTGCCACAGAGCTGCTTAAGCACGAGGCCTTGCACCCGCCTCCGGAGGAACAGCCTCGGTGTCAGAGCCTGGACTCAGCACTCTTCGAAAGGAAAAGGCTGATGACCAGGGAGGACCTGGAGCTGCCAGAAAACATTGCTGGTACAAAACCAATCCTACATCTGCCCTCTGGGTGTGGCTGGACTCCAGCACCCATCAGCCAGTGGCCAAGGACGATGGGTATCATAGTCCAATAACCTCTGGTCCCCCATCCCTGCTCTAACAGAAGGGACAGGGTATGGGACTGAGCTTGTGCCAGGCAGGAGCGCTTTGTCAGGTCACAGGTCAAGGTAGAAGCGGCAGGTGAAGGGAGTGAGATGAACATGGGAGACTGACATAGACTCTTGTCAGAGTATTTGTCTGGAGGAGGGAGTGCACAGCTGCTCCTATCCAAAAGGCTCGACATTGACCTATCCCTGCTCTAGTCTTTTCAGGTTGAAGTTTAAGGGCTTGTGGTCAAAGTCTTAGGATAAGGTCAGGCTAAGGTTCCCGTTCATTTCAGAAATCTCATTAGCTTCCCAGTGGAACGAGGCTTTAGCCTCAGTGCAGCAGATTCCTGGAAAATCAGTTCAATGACAAGCTCACACAAGTCACCCAGGAAGCTCTTGGGGGGGGGGGAAGTATTTTGGAGCTCCCAGAATTGTGAAATACTTTTCTCCAGTATTTTGAGTACAGTATTAGGTTTGGTTTTTTGTTTTTGTTTTAAGAAACGGGACGTGTTGAGGGAAAACAACAGCAATGCAAATCAGAGTTAAAACAACATACAATTTTTTAAAATGCAATTTCTCAAATTTTGTTGGTTTTTTTTAAAAAAAACACCACGAGTATGGGATTACCTGCATCCGACCTTTTCAAACAGCAGTAGGCAAAATTATGTCTGACTGTCCAGAGATGTCCCACCCACATCCTGCTACTAGACCCTTTCTAAGATGATTGCTAAAATGTACCTTGTGTGGTTGGGGACAATATGCTAGCCCTTTAACAGTGCAGTCCCGTGCATGTTTACTCAGAACTAAGCCCTGCTGTGCTCCATGGGGGTTGCAACTGTGTACATGTGTTTAGAATTGAAGCAGTAACCTTTTATATGCCAGCTGTCCCATCAGTGGAGCACCACTACCTTTTGAGCTTGCAGCAATAGGTAACTAAGCTGCAGCAAAGGCAGAGCAAGGGTTTGTCAGACATTTGCATTAATGATGCCTGATTTTCCTGTGCTGGTTCCCTCTCTGGCATACAGGAGGTAAACTGCACCAAGAAATGGGAGGCACAGATAGATGGAGAGAGAGAGATTAGTGCACCAAGAACAGTACTATTTCATGCTTTGCACTTCACTTGCTAAGAAAGTTGTCCCCTACGAATAGGTTTGTAAAAAGGAAACATCCCTTCTACTCATTGTAAACTTTACTGATGCTGCAGAAGAATTAAACTGAGGACTGGATGAATGGCTGTAACCACCTATTACGGTTCATCTCCCTTGAGTCTGTGTTTTTTTCTTCTGCAAAGGCTGCTGATTTTAGTTTTCTCGAAAAGAAGCATATTTAGTGAGCTGAAGCAGATTTGAAAAATCACCACCAATTACTCTAAAACGTGTCTTGCAGTATAATATCATATGGTGATCTCTGTCTTTTAAAATTCTTCCTTGGCAGATTCTTCAAGTCTTGGGATTACCGAGGAATCGGAACTGCTAAAGAGGCAGCGATCGTTGTACATAGACATTGGAGCATTAGCTGGCTACTTTAACATTGTCCGGGGAACAACAACGCTAGACTACGAATAAATCTGAGGATCTCTTGTGCTGGACAGAAGGAGATAATGCCTCTTGGAGAACTAACTGCTTTTGAAGAAGAGTGCAATCGGTTTTATCACTTGAAGGTTTTTCTAAAGCTAACCCTTTCGGGAATTCTGACCAATATATAATGATCACCACTGTCTTTACATTCTGGATGAAAGCAAACGTCAACAGATTACTTGTTTCGTTGGCATATGGTATGTGTCTTGCATGCACACATCATTTGTGATTTGAATAATCTTCAGTGTGTAAAAATATTTGTGTGTGTATGTATGTGTGTATATATATCTGTATATATATATTGTAGAATTCTATTACACACACACACACACACACACACACACACACACGTAACATGCATTAAGAAAAAAGAAAGACAGACCTGACTGGATCTTAAGCTAAGCTTCATTGGGACCCCCATTAAGACTCCTTGAACACTTCCACCTAAGAACCATCAAAGTGCACATTGGATCGGATCTACGGCTGTTTCTAAACAGTGCTTGCTTCCAACAGTGGCTTTTTGTAGCACTGCCTTGGCTAGGATGCCTCCACTTTGCAAATCCTTGGCTTATAGCATGGGGCTGGCTTCCCCAAGAAGCCCTGGAGCATTGCTAGTTGGGGTGCCTGCCCTTTTCTGTCCCCTCTCTCCTTGCTGATTTTTGCTTGCATCCAGCAGCAGCTCAGTTGACCCACAAACCAGCATGGCATGAGCATCTTTGCCCGTCTCCACCCAACCTCCCACTTGTTTTGCTGATGGCTTGTTTTGGATGCCAAGGAAGGGAACTCCCTATCTTCCACTCCCTGCCCTTCTTTTGCTTCCCTTGGGTTCTTTGACACATTTCCCAAGCTCTCTCTGTGACGCTTATTTGATCTCCCCGCTTTTCAGACTGAGAATTTGCCAACTTGGGCAAAGGAGTGGTTTTGTTGCCCCACGTCTATGCAGGGAATAAGTCAGGTGCTTCCCCTCCACCCGCAAGCTAAGTTGAAACACTGACATCAGAGTTTTGAGAACCCTGGTATATAGGCCAAGGGTGTTGTGGCAGATCCGGAATAAGCTTGTAGAAATTAATGGCGAGCTGTAAACATAAATAATGACTAAATTGCCCCATTGATTTCAACAGGGACTGAAGCTGCAATCTTTACTCCGCTTGCCTGGGAGCAAACTCCAAACTGTACTTATTTTGAATAGACATGATTAGCATTATGCTGTAAATTCAGCTAACTTAACAGTGCAGCACTGCCCATTCTTACTCAGAAGTAAATCCCATTGAATTCGATATGCTCTCAGGAGTTAGCATTGCAGCATGATTCAGGATCTAGCCCATTGACAAGAAATAGTTGGACTCCTGTGGCTGGAAGACAGACTCTTAGAACTGAAAACCAGCAAAGAAAGCAAATTGTAGCGACAGGCATGTCTCCTGCTTGCACATAGTAGGGTGGTGTTCAGAAGCACTAGCACCCTTGCCTTTTGACTGACAGTGAAATGCTGGGCATGTCTACTCAGAGGTGAACGCTATTGAGGCTTGCTCTGCATCATATTGCAGCCTGAGGTATCTACATCAGGTGCAGTTTCCCAGAAAGTCCTTTTGCATGAATGGGAGCTGTGCAAAAGCACGGAATGAGTTCCGGCTTGCAAACTTCTGCAAAGAAAAGAGCAGCTGTACACACGAGCCATTTGATGTATAATGTTGGTGAACAATATTGCACTGTGTTTGGGAATCTTTGCCAGTTCTGATGGTGGTTCAATTTGTGGCTGCAAGACTTCATGTTTGATAAAATAAACATGTGTTTGGATGCCATGAATGATACATTATTTTATGTTCCTATGGAAAAAGACTTCCTTTTCTCTTGAAGATGTTGAATACATTTAAATGTGATGTTTTAGAGGGCAGTAAAGCTGTTTCAAGAACATAGTTTGGTACATCCCATGGGATGAATGTGTAAACTTTTATAAAACAGTTGTGTACTAAGGATTAGTGTCACTTTTAACCACCTGTTTCCCTTTTTTAATGGCATACTGTGTATGTTGTAAATAGAACTAGTTATAAAACAACGTATCTGTTTCAAAGTTTATATTTAAGGCTCTTTGTATACAAAATATATTTGTATTAATTTCTTCCACTCCTTATTCCAATAGGACTGGATTAAAGATTTGAAGGTATAAATTCATGTGTTCTTGTGATTTATTCTGTCATTTCTTAGTGTGTGTACCCATTTCTTAGCCTGTGTAAAAACAGTTGCATTCCTGTAGATATTTTGCTGCACCACCCTTTTTGTGGTCAATTTCAAAGCAACTGGGAGGACCATCAATAAAGGAAATCTGCTCACCTTTTCCGGTGGGCAGTGTTGTGGCCGGGCATCCGGCCCCCTGCAGTGATCCGGGGAGCAGAGATTGACACCCCTTTATGCTATCTGCCTGCTGCATCCCTGGTGCTGGGCATGGCCACGCCCAGCAGTGGCCAAGCTGTCCAATCAGTGCTGGTAGGGGGCGTGGCCATGGAAAATTTAAACTGTGGCGCAGCCAGGGTCCCTCCCAACCCACCCGCCCTCTCTTTATGCTTTGCTATGACACAACCTTGCTATGCACAAATGTTTGCCGCTATATTGTTGGGGCCGGGTAGGAATTTTTTCCACTTGGCAAACTGGCACCAGCCATTTGGTTTTCACCTACCTTGTAGCAATTGTCACAACTTGGTGAGGTGAGGCATTGGATCGGCCTTTGGATGGAGGAGAGGTTGTAGCCTCCGCTGGCGGGTCCTCATTAAGGGCATCCTGTTAAAGGGGTGTGGGTTCTGCCTGATGCCGGGACGTGGGCTAGGGCAATGCCACAAACCCAATGGGAACCTCTCAGGGTGCCCCTGTTTGATGTAACTTATAGGGCTCCCCCTCTTGGTGGTTTACTCTTAGTTGGACTCCCTGCAGATGGGCGGGAATCAAGATATAGCCTGGCTTCACCCAATGCCTAAGCCAAACAGCTCACATCTGTAACCAATAAAGCTGTGGCCTATTTGAACTCATAAACCTAAATACTCACGTCCATGTGTTTATTACCCAGCAGGGAACTGCAGGTCACGGGGCCTTGGCACACAATTCATTCTTAGAGTTTCTTACAGTGAGAGAGACTCGGCTGAGAGCCTGACCTCTGCTGGTTAACTTCAATAGGTCCTCCTAAGTCAGAGATGGGGAACCCATTGCCCTCCAAGTGTTGCTGGTCTCCAGCTATCATCATCCCTGACCATTGGATAGATCGGGGGTCTGCAACCTTTAAGACAAAAAGAGCCACTTGGACCCATTTCCGAAGAAAAAAAAACTGGGAGCTGCAAAACTCGTCATTATAAAAATAACTTTTTTGTCACTTTTTAAAATTATTTCTTTGTTTGACCCCTCAGAATTACTCCTCCTCATAGAAATAAACGTTAAATTAACAAGTTACCTTTTTGTGTGTGTGTGTTCTTCACTCTCCTTCAAAACAGTGACCAGCGTACATCCCCCCTTTCAATGCAGTGACCAGTGTACATGACCCTTACAATGTAGCGGGCGGGCGGGAAGGTGACGTCGGGACGGTGCGTGACTAACGCACGCACCGCCCCCATGTGACGTCACAGCCAGTACAGCGCCCGCCACAGTGGGGAGTGTCGGGGCGCACAATGCGCCTCCTCCCCTCGCTAGTATCCGCCCCGGAGCCGCGGCAAAGGTGTAAAAGAGCCACATGCGGCTCCGGAGCCACGGGTTGCTGACCCCTAGGATAGATAATAATAATAATAATAATAATAATTTTTATTTATACCCCGCCCTCCCCAGCCAAGGCCGGGCTCAGAGCAGCTTACAAGCAATAATAAAAACAAATTGAATGATTACAACTTAAAAACAAAATTAAAATACAACATTAAAATATGGAAACATTAAAATATTAAAATGTAGCCTCATCGCAGGAGGAGAAGGAAAGGAAAAAAGAAAGGGAGGGAGGGAATCAAATTGGCTCCAAGCCAAAGGCCAGGCGGAACAACTCTGTCTTACAGGCCCTGCAGAAAGAAATCAGATCCTGCAGGGCCCTGGTCTCATGAGGCAGAGCGTTCCACCAGGCCGGAGCCAGAGTTGAAAAGGCCCTGGCTCTGGTTGAAGCCAATCTAACTTCCTTAGGGCCCGGGACCACTAGGGTGTTGCTATTTATGGACCTTGAGGCTCTCCGTGGGGCATACCAGGAGAGGCGGTCCCGTAGGTACGAGGGTCCTAGGCCGTGAAGGGCTTTAAAGGTCAAAAGCAGCACCTTAAATCTGACCCTGTACTTTACCGGGAGCCAGTGCAGTTTGAAAAGCACTGGGTGAATATGCTCCCGTGGCAGAGACCCCGTGAGGAGCCTCGCTGCAGCATTCTGCACCCTCTGGAGTTTCTGGGTCAGCTTCAAGGGCAGCCCCGCGTAGAGCGAATTACAGTAGTCAAGCCTGGAGATGACCGTCGCATGGATCACTGTGGCCAGGTCGGGGCGGGAAAGGTAAGGGACCAACTGCTTGATGCGGCGAAGGTGGAAAAATGTCGCCTTGGCTGTTGCTGTAACTTGCGCCTCCATGGAAAGGGAGGCGTCAAGGATTACACCCAAACTCTTAACGGAAGGCAATGGCACTAATTGGGCCCCGCAAGAGAAGGGAGTTGGTCCCTCATCCCCATGCCATCCCGACCCAGCCATAGGTCCTCTGTCTTCGAAGGATTTAGTTTCAATCGGCTCCCACGAAACCATCCAGCCACAGCTTCCAAGCATCTGGTCAGTGTGTTCGGGGCCGAGTCGGTGTGGCCATCCATCAGCAGATAGAGCTGAGTGTCATCAGCATATTGGTGACAGCCCAGCCCAAAGCTCTGGATAATCTGGGCAAGGGGGCACATAAAGATGTTAAAAAGCACCGGCGAGAGAATTGTGCCCTGCGGCACTCCACACACCAAGGAATGGCGCGACGACATTTCCCTCCCTAGTGCCACCCTCTGTCCCCGACCAGAGATAAAAGAGCACAGCCAGTTACGGGCTATGCCCTGTATCCCCACGCCCTGATCCCAGAAGATCATGATCGGCCATGTCAAAGGCTGCTGACAAATCTAAAAGGATCAGCAGTCCTGACCCGCCTCGATCCAGTTGTCTACGGAGATCATCTGTGAGGGCAACCAGAGCCGTCTCGGTCCCAAAACCAGGACGGAAACCGGACTGAAATGGATCTAAAGCCGATGTTTCCTCCAGAAACCTACCAAGCTGTTCAGCAACCGCTCTCTCAATTACCTTACCCAGATATGGAAGATTTGAAACTGGGCGGTAATTGGATAGGTCTAAGGGATCTAATGAAGTTTTCTTTAAGAGTGGACACACTACTGCTTCCTTCAGTTCCCCTGGGAATGTCCCCGTGTCAAGGGACAAATTGATAATTTCAACCAGGGGGGTCCGCGCAACATCTGGACACTCCCTAATCAGCCAAGATGGGCACGGATCAAGGAGGCAGGTGGTGGGCCTACCAGCTTGGAGGAATCTATCCACATCAGCAGGGAGTATCTGATCGAAATGGTCCAGCACTGGACCTGAAGTCAGTTGAGGGGCCTCCAGTTCAGTCACTGTATCTAAATTGGCAGGGAGGTCACGGTGGAGCAACAGGACTTTCTCCGCAAAAAAGCTCGCGAATGCCTCACAGCTGTGGGTCGAATTTGTGCTTAAATTTGGTTGTCCTCCTAAGGATGTTATTGACCTAATTATTCTAAAAAGTTGTGCCGGGCGAGAGCTAGCGGATGCAATGGAAGCTGCAAAGTAAGATTTCTTAGCAGCTTTCATAGCCATCTCATAGGCTTTCATAAGCGTCCTATAAGATGTTCTTGAGGCTCCGTCACGAGTCCGTCACCATACTCGCTCTAGCTGTCTGAGATCCCGCTTCATTTTCCGGAGCTCCTCAGTAAACCAAGGGGCCCAGTTTCGACGGGGTCGCAGAGGGTGCTTAGGCGCGATCTCATCAATGGCTGTCAAGAGCCGGTTATTCCAGTCCTCAACAAGGTCATCTAATGAGTCGCCAGGAGGAGCAGGGTCCCGCAAGGCTTGTCGGAATCTATCAGGATCCATCTGTTTTCGCGGACGAGCCCAAGTAGGTTCGCCACCCGAGCAGGGGAGGAGCGGGAAGTCAATCTTGGCTTTCAGAGCGTAGTGATCAGACCATGGCACTTCCACAGGGGGGAGCATGATCACATCTATGCCAGCCCCAAAGATCAGATCCAGCGTGTGGCCTGCTTGATGAGTGGGGCCCAAAACAAACTGGGAGAGCCCTAGTGTTGCCATGGAAGTCACTAGGTCCAGAGCCTGTGAGGAGGGAGTGGCATCGGCATGGACGTTGAAGTCTCCCAAAACCAGTAGGTTTGGGAACTCCAAGGCCCAGCCCGCCACCACCTCCAGCAGGTCTGACAGGGTGGCTGCCACTGTGCTGGGTGGTCGGTACACCAGCCAGACAGCCAAGCTCTCCTAGGTGCCCCACACAAGACCAACACATTCAATGCTGGAGATCGCCGGTGATGACAGAGCTCTGAAAGAGCAATCCTCCTGGATTAACAACGCTACTCCTCCCCCCCCGACCCACAGTCCGCGATTGATGGGGGACAGAGAAACCTGGGGGTGTTATCTCATGTAGGGAGACTACTTCGCCTTCCCGTACCCAGGTCTCCGTCACGCAAGCCAGGTCAATCCCCTGCGAGACAAAAAAGTCATGCATGGTGGCGGTTTTGTTGCCTATGGACCTGGCATTGCACAGCACCAATGACGGAGGTGTGTAATCCTTGCTCTCCCTACCCTCATCCCTTGGGATGGGGTGTAGATTGGAAGGGGTTCGAGGATCACTGCATCTCGAAACCCTTCACCGATAGAGATATCTAGCCCCACCGCCATTCCTCCCTAGCCCTTCAATAGTGGAAATCCCAGACCCCATACTAGCCTCCTCAATAGAGGGGTAACATCCCCTCAATAACAAGTCATCGTTGGGCCAGGACTCCTGGGTCAAAATGGTATGGGGAAGAGGTGGAGGTTTGATAGGGTAAGTATCCCTAGAAGATAAAACCCAACCAACCGCACCCCAAGCGGGGAGGACAGTCTCATGGTGTTTCGTTAACTGTCAATCCCCCTCTCCCTCCTGGGTTGATTGGAGGATTGGTTGGTTCTATCTGTGGCTGTGGGAGTATTAATGAGGTATGCGCTATGAAATGTGGATCACTGGCCAACAAAGAGCCAGCTTCGGAAGATCTGTCCATCCTGTCTCGCCAGGAGTACAGTAGAGAAGGTTGATCATTCTGATAAGTTTTTGGAACATTAGGCAAAGGTCCAGGTGTAGATTTGGTGCTGGATATCTCCAGATTGTCAGCAACATAGAGTTCTTTAGGTGTTGTTGCCATAGAAATGTCGGAGGTGCCAAATTCCTCATTTAATTCGGTGTCGTTTGAAAAGGGAACAGGGAGTTGCACTGATGTCTTTCTACAGGATAAAGAGCTGTTGGACGTCTTTAAATATTGTGCTCTAGGCACTACTGTCTTTATATTTAAGGTAGAAATCTCAGTCTTTATACTCATTAGCCTCTTCTTCAGGTCTTGTAATTCTAGGCTTACAGAGTTCTTTTTTTCCTTCGGGCAATTAGTGTTTCTAGTGTTGAGCTTGGTTTCCCTTATCCGCATTAGCTTTGACTCTATGTAAGGGACCAATTGCCTCCTTGTTTTGTCCTTAAATATCCTCACTGGGCGGAGAGAATGGAACCACCATAGAGTATCCTTTATTTCCATGAGTTGAGATGGGAGGGCTGATGACCTAAAGGTCATAAATAGGCGCGTTGTGTTTCTCACGGTAGGCAGGAAGTGGAAATTTTCTAGATCTACATTTCGGTAATGGTCATTCAGGAGCTGAGACAAGGACATAGTAATTTGTCTGCGGTTCATCCACCTATGAGTGTATCGGTGAATCTCAAGCATTATCTGGTTTGTTTGCAAGACTTGACAGGACCTCACTTCATCCATAGATTGAGTTGGTGAGTTGTTAACAAAGTCATTTCTTATCATCCTTTTAAGCCCTTGGGCATTTAAAGGGGAGGAGCTAGTATCCAATTGTTTCTCAGTGTTAACTATTTTGGTGAGGATTTCATTCAGTCTTTGGAGAACCAGAACCATAGTTTCTGCAGACAACATGCAAATCTCTTGGTAGGGGGCTCCTCTGATATCTTGTTCTAGAGGCATGGGTGGGTCAGCGTTAGGAGTGGGAGGAATACCTCCTGCTCCTGCTCTTGCCCTCTTGGACGGATTAGCTTTTTCTCATAAATGCAAGGTAAATGCAAGGTGTGCCAGACTCCCAACTGTGCTCTCTATACAATTTCTTAGGGAATTCCGAACGCCAGCCACTTCCGCTTTCTGGTGCCCAAGACACAAAGTAGCACTTCAACTCTGTTTTTCCCTTTAGAAACGAGCTGGGCCAGTCTGCTTCTGCTTCTGAACAGATCAAAACAGTGGGAAAGGGCACCAAAACCGTGGCAAAGGAGGGAACAGGTTTTGATTAAATTGGCCAAATGTGGGGAAGGGGAGACCTGCAAAAGATAAAGGTTCTATATGTGTAGACCCTGAGTATCTTCTAGAACAAGCAAGGGAGAATGGGAGCAGGGTGTTCATGATGTCATGCAAAGGCCCCTTAAAAAGTGAATGAACATATTCCACAGCCCATGCTCATTGCAGAAGCAGCCCTGACTGAAGCTGAGCTGTGTGTATATGTGTGAGAGAGAGCCTTGTGCTTATGATTTAAGAGGCAGCCAGATCTCTCCCACCTCTCTCTCTGATGATCAGCTGCTTCCAACAATATCAAGGTTGACACAGTCTGCACTGCACTCAGTGACTTGGTGCTCTCTGTTTCCCTGGAGCACTTGGCCTCCATATTTTTTCTCATGGGAAAACTGCTTCTTCACTAAAAGAGCACAGGCTTTTCCATAATGGGTCATTGAGGTTTGTGAGAATTATGTGCCATGGCACCTGAATTCTCTTAGATAATTTATGCGAAAGCTAAACACAATCACTTCATGACCACATCTTTGAGTTGGGACATAGTATGCATAGTTAAAGGGACGCGGGTGGCGCTGTGGGTAAAACCTCAGCGCCTACGACTTGCCGATCGCATGGTCAGCGGTTCGAATCCCCGCGGCGGGGTGCACTCCCGTCGTTCGGTCCCAGTGCTTGCCAACCTAGCAGTTCGAAAGAACCTCTGGGTGCAAGTAGATAAATAGGGACCGCGTACTAGCGGGAAGGTAAACGGTGTTCCGTGTGCTGCGCTGGCTCGCCAGATGCAGCTTGTCACGCTGGCCACATGACCCGGAAGTGTCTGCGGACAGCGCTGGCTCCCGGCCTATAGAGTGAGATGAGCGCACAACCCTAGAGTCTGGCAAGACTGGCCCGAACAGGCAGGGGTACCTTTACCTTTACCTTTATGCATAGTTAAGCTTAATACATATATAGCGAGAACCAGAGAGGACAGGCAACCGGTAAGGATAATGTCTTCATTCAGGAATGGAATCTATAATGTACTGGAGTAATAACGTTCAAGATGATGTAAACGCATTTGTGTTACTTGGAACCTTGTGATGTTAATTTATTATGTTTGATTTTGGTATGGAAATTTGTTCTCATATGTTTAGTTCTTCTACTTTTATTTTATTTGGCATCCGTTAGTATACTTTATTATGTTTTATTATAAATAAATATATTTTATTATTTATTATAACTAAAGATACGTAAATAAAAACATAGTAAACATAGATAAAAGTGTCTTCTATGTTTTTTTTATTTAAGAAACCCCTCAAATCTGCTGGCCCCCAAATCTACAGGTGAGGTTCATTAAATTTTAGACCAAAGGTAGAAGGAGCAAGAGCAATCTAAAGGCACTCCCACGGCATCTCTCTTTAGTGGGCCATTGAGAAACTGAGGCAGGTTCTTATGGTAGATTGGTTGGTGCTCATTGGCTGAGCAGAGTGTTTATCTGAACTGAGCCAAATCTATAAAAAGAGCAGCTTGGAAAGGTTTTGTAAGAATTGCTGTCAGGAAAGCAGTGGACTGCATCCAGAATGAGGCCACCTGTTCAATCTGCCTATAAATTTTTAAGAAGCCTGTAATTTTAGACTGTGGGTGTAATTTTTAAAATGCCTGCATCATCCCATGCTGGCAAGGCTCTGATAGTGATGCGTCCTACCTTCAATGCAGGAAGACCATTCCTAATATGAATACCAGGCTGTTCTGAACTGCAGGCCCCAAGAAGGGCTACAGCAAGTGGTTTGATGCAATGTGAGGTTGTCTTGACTTGTTCACACCCCAGCAAATGTTCATGCATCCTCTATGCACAAAGCAACATACATCAGTTTGTCCAGAAGCTCCCATCACACCTGGTCGCTGAGGCCATAGGCGGCAGCTACCCAAAGCTTCTCCCCTCTCTGGGCCCATCCCAAGGCTCACAGATAAGCACAGCATCAAAGCCAGCCAATTAGCAAACATCAAAGCAAGGAAACATAAGCATATATGACCTCATTCTTGCCACAACTACTCATTAGTTTCGGGGTTATCTTGACTACCAGGATGGCATTTGCAGGCTTTCAGGAACATTTTGATTTGCTCCAACACACACAGGCCAAACAGCCAGTTTGGAAACATCCTGGGGCTTCTGAAGCAACGCCAGTTGTGGCATGTCATGGTTGTCATGTGTGAACTCCACCAGAAGTCCCCGAACCTCTTCTGCAAGGATGACCAAGTACTCCTCTGCTACAAGTGTACCGAATGGAGTGCTCACCCAAGTCACATTTTTGGTCCTTTGGAACCAGCAGATGATGGGTACAAGGATGACATCTAAATACTTCTAAATCCAAAAGGTAGCAGCAGGAAGTGGTTCTCAGAGGTTTCCCTGAAGCAGGGGGTCAGAGGCAAAATCTAGCGAAACCTTTGGAAGATCACACTGGAATACAAGCAATTCTGTCAAGTGATGAAGGACCTGCAGGCTGACGTAACACATCATCAATGAAGAGAGACTTATGATGACCAACTTATCAAGTTATCTGTGCAGAAATCACCAGTGTTGAAAAGCAAATCTCTGAGACGGAGAGATAGTCTGTAAACAGCCAGCTTCTGAATTTCTACAGGAAATCAAACAGACCTTGAGCAAGTATGGAATCTTTTCTCTCCGGCCCCACATTCCCTTTAGACTGTGCCATTGTCTCACACAATAAGATGAAACACAATACTGAGAAAACAACAAGTCTTTTTTGTCCTGGACCAAACATATAAATATGCAGGCTGTAACTCCCCCGCCCTTGTCTCATGACGTGAAACATTTCAAGGGCTTGATTGTGGTTCACCGCAACTGAAAGTGAAGCTGTGTGATCTCTCTTTAAGGAGACTTTTTTGCACAAGACACACTTAGGAAATGTGCAGAGGCCCTGCCATTGCGAGCACAGGCCTTAAAAGCAAACACGAGTCTGGGTCCAACTAATGTGCATCTAGTGCTGTCAGGGAATCCAAGGTGCACAAAGCATGATTCTTTACTCAGATACACATTAGTTCTGTTACCTGTGTGCTGGGCTATGAGAAGCCTGCTTCAGAGAGGCATTACTGGGAGGTAGAGGTAACTGTCTGAGGTGGACACTGGGCTGTGGGTGTTGCTAAGGAATCTGTCAAAATGAAAGGTGAAATTGCAGTGAAAATGGATGAGGGGATCTGGACCCTGAATTCAGAACTTATTTGTCTGCCCTGGCCAGTGGCGGGGGGTGGGGAGTTCAACAGAATCCGTGTTGATCTGGACTTCAAAAACTGGCATTTTTGTGTGTGCCAGTTCCAGTAATTTGATTGCCACTTTCATAATTGTTGCTTTTGCTGGGGACAGAATCTTTCTAATCTCATTGCTGTTGAAATATCGAGCCCAGATGAAATTACAGTGGTACCTCAGGTTACATACGCTTCAGGTTACATACGCTTCAGGTTACAGACTTTGCTAACCCAGAAATAGTGCTTCAGGTTAAGAACTTTGCTTCAGGATGAGAACAGAAATTGTGCTCCGGCGGTGCGGCGGCAGCAGGAGGCCCCATTAGCTAAAGTGGTGCTTCAGGTTAAGAACAGTTTTGGGTTAAGAACGGACCTCCAGAATGAATTCAGTTTTCTTAACCCGAGGTACCACTGTATGTACTTGAAAACTTTGGATTTGCGTCTGCTTGGTAGACAGCCCAGCTAGTGTAGTTGGAGCTCACCCAACCATACTGCAGAGAATAGCTCAAGTTGTAAAGCTAAGTTGTTTCTTGGGCAATGTTTTAATAGGATGCTATGTAGATCTCAAACGTTGTATGGTTTTTTTAGATGCTAAAAGTCCATAAAGTGTTGAAACACTGTTTTGAAAAGGTTGGGTTTTCTGGGCTTTGAGAAGGAAGCTGAACAAGGGGAAATGGAAGCAGGGTGTTCATGATGTCACAGAGAGGCCCCTTCAAAAGTGAATGAACACTGAGCATAGCTACTCCATAGTCTGTGCTCAGTGTGGAAGCAGCCTTGAGTGAAGCTGAGCTGTGCGTATGTGAGAGAGAGTGCCTGGTGCTTGTGATTCAAGAGGCAGCCAGATCTATCTCTCTCTCTCTGATGATCAGCTGTTTCTGACAATACCAAGGTTGGCATAGTCTGCACTGCACTCAGTGACCTGGTCTCTCTGTTTCCCTGGAGCACTTGGCATCCAGATTTTTCTCATGGAAAAACTGCTTCTTCACTAAAGGAGCACAGGCTTTTCCATAACGGGAATTTGTGCCATGGCACCCATCCTCTCAGATAATTTCCACAGAAGCTAAACCCAGTCACTTCATGCCCACATCCCCAAGTCCAGACTTCGGCTTGCTGTTTCCAGTCATTGGGTTATTCTGGGAGGAGGAAGCATGTGTAAACAAAATAGGCGAGTTACATTGCAGGACAACAAAATAATGAAATTAAAGACAGCAAGGAGGGGACTGTGGGTCTTTGTCTAGATATAGCCTAAATCAAGAGAAGTTGATGAACTATGCAGAACTGGCAAAAATGACAGACAAAGAGAAAAAGACAACAGCGACTTTGAAAAAGAACATTCTACCATATGTGGTGGATATGTAGGAAAATACAGGTATTCTGGGAGAGTATACATGCAGAACTGCAAAAAAATGCTAAAGATCTCTTTCAATAAAAAACCAGAGGCCTACCTCCTGGGA